ATCCGTCGATCAATAATGGCAATTGGTTGGGTCTGGAGTTCTCCTTGGATAGTCATATTTGGTGGGTGGCTTTGGGCTGTCTCCAAGAACCTATTTACAACTTTTGTCTGGCCGTTGATTTGTGGGTGATATGCCGTACTTCTTTTCAATTTAGTACCCTGCATATGGAATAACTTTTTCCAAAATCTGCTCATGAAGATGCAAGTAGAATTTATCATAAGTACAATGCGTCCCTTATAGTGTAATTCTTTTGAGTCCCAATTGTAATGAGCCACGGTGCTTGGTGCTTCCTCCAATTTTTTTATAATCTTACTAGTCTCTGAATCTTCCTGCCATCCCATCTTAATATCCTCAAGGAAGTCACTAGTCGGAAGTGAAATGACCGAAACTTCAGCTTGCTCGAGTAGCTACGAAAGCGCATCTACAAGAACATTCTCTTTCCCCTTTTTGTAAGTTATTTCATAATCAAATCCAAGAAGTTTTGTTACCCATTTTTGCTGCTCAGGGGATGATATCTTTCGCTCCAAAAAGTACTTAGAGGCTTTTATGATCGATTTTAATTTGAAATCGTCGACCAATCAAGTAGGGTCTCCACCTCGTTGCTGCGCGCACAATGGCGAGCATCTCCTTATCATATGTTGACTTATTTTGATGGGAGGGAGATAATGTCTTGCTAGTGTATGTGAGTGGTCGACCATCTTGCATGAGAATAGCTCTAATTTCGACTCCAGATGCGTCGGCCTCAATAATGAAGGGTCCGTTGAAATATGGTAGTGTTAGCACCAGCGTCGTCGTCATGGCTACCTTAAGTTTCTCGAAGGCAGTGGAGGCTCTGTCTAACCATTGGAAGACATCTTTTTCTAGTAAGAAAGTAAGTGGTGCATTGATCTTTCCATAGTTTTTCACGAACTTACGATAGTAGCTTGTTAAACCCAAAAAGCCATGTAGCAATTTTATGTTCCTCGGGGTAGGCCAGTTTTGCATTGCTTCAATTTTGAAGGGGTCCACTGTCACACATTCCTCTGATATGATATGCCCAAGATATTCCACCTTCTGTTGAAGAAAGCAAAAATTCATAGTGGTTGTTGTGTGTTCAAAAGGTGATTTTCGGTATGTCTTCTTCGCACACTCATATTTGATGATACCCAGATCAAAGGTCCAGCTTTGTAAAGATTTGTGCTCCCTTTCATCTAGCAATTCATTGGCTATTGGAATAAGGTATTTGTCCTTGATGGTTATGCCATTGAGAGCTTGGTAATCAACGCATATTCACCATGTTCCGTCCTTCTTGCGTACAAGTAGCACCGGTGAAGAATAGAGGTTGCAACTTGGCCGAATAACTCATATTTCGAGCATCTCTTTTACAATTCTTTCTATTTCATCCTTCTGGAGATGTAGATATTGATATGACTGAGTATTTGCTGGAGGTTTGCCTGCAAGAATCGTTATATAATGATCATGCCGATGGGTAAGAGGTAGGTTGTACGGTTCGTCAAATATATCTGAAAATTCAGCAAGCAAAGGAAGTAGGTTTGGCTCTCCCTTAGTTTGCTGCTCAAGTTATACCAAAAATCTGCTGCATGCTTTATACAAAACCTTCTCCATTTGTTGTGTGCAAATCGTTGTTACGTCGCCCCCATATTTCCTGTTCAGTATCACCTGTTTCTCCTTACTGTAAAATTTCATAATTAGTTGCATAAAATTCCAAAAAATATCACCTAATGTCGTCAACCATTTAATTATGAGCATGGCCTCATGATCATCAAGAGGGAGAAGGAAGAAATATGCAATTATCTCTTGGTAAGGCCTCATGATCAGCAACAGTTTCACTTGCGGGCGCCTATGATCATACTTCAAAATCCATCCATCGGCGACCTTAACGTTAAACCTGTTGCAATTCTCGATAGGTAAGGCCATCTGGATAGTAACCTTACTGTTTAGAAAGTTATTAGTACTGCCCGTATTGATGAGAACAGTGATCGGTTGTCGTTTGAGAATGCCTCCAACTTTCATCGTTTGCGGGTTTGAGTAGCCGACTAGTGCATATACCGTAACTTCGGTTAGTTGTGGCTCTTCTTTTGCATCTTCTTCTTCATGTTCAAGGCTCTCTTCTGGATGTTCAATGACCTCTTCTTCTATTGGTTCAATCATAAGAAGTCTCCCTTTACTACAACGATGCTCACGGCTCTACGGCTCGTCGCAATGCCAACATAACCCCTTCACATATCGCTCCCGAAGCTCTTCTCTTATTAACCTCTTTGGTGTAGAGACTCGGTCGATAGTAGGGGGGGCTGAGGGCTTTAATATTACTGGTTGAAGAGTGACCTTAGTCCTCCGAGCTTCATGGTTCAATTGCTCCTCTTGATGTCGTGCGAAAGAGATGGCTGCCATAAGCGTATACGATTGTCGTGCTTTAACTTCTCCTCGGATCTTCGGCTTCAAGCCCTCAATGAAGGTCCTCAATAGCTATTTTTGAGACCAATCATGAGTTTGATTAGATAACCTTTCAAACCTAGTTTGGTACTCCTGAATGGTGGAGGTTTGTCGGATCTTTGCTATTTGTCCGTCAATATTCTCGTAATCGGTTGGTCTGAAGTGAATCAGTAGTCTTTCTTTGAATTGTTGCCATGAAAGGACTCCATAAGTATGTTCAAACCAGTCAAACCATTGTATAGCATCCCCTTCAAGATGTATAGCTGCAATTTTCACCATAGATGCATCCGTGGTTTTGTGGTACCGAAAATATCGCTCCGCGCGCGAGATCCAACCAATCGGGTCTCCTTCTTCCCATCTAGGGAATTCCACTCTCATGCATGGATAGTTGGGGTTGGTCATAGAGCTTCCCCTCTCTTGGAAGTCATATCTTTGTGCTTGGTGCGATTGGGCAAAGCTCTCTCGTTGATGTGATTTCTTTGGGCTTAGTGGTCGGCCCAATCTGAGTTCGGTAAAGAGCGTCCAAATCTTATCCTTTATTCGCGCCTCGAAGGCTTCGAATTTAGCATTGATTACCTCCTCAGATGTCATAGTATATGCCGCCAAATCTGTGATGTTAAGATCTCTCTTTTGTTGTCGGGTTAAAGGCATGTATTGGTTGAGAGAGGTGATAGTCGAAAGGGTTGGTAGATCGGTGGATGTAGGCTACGATTTAGGCTTGTTTTGTGGATATTTTGGGTGCAGTTTGAGGGTGTGGTTTAGTGGAGTTTTAGGGCTGTAGATGAAAGTTTTGGATCTATGGTAGATGGTAGCAAAGGTTTGATAGAAATAAGTGGAAGTCGCAGCAAGTATGTGCTGTCTTGTACGAGTAGAATTGTCGTCGAAGAAACAACGATTTCTCGATGTAATTTCTACCAAAAACTTGAGAGAATTGAGTAGGGAATTGATAGCAAAATCACAGTTTATATGACAGCAAGGATATCTAATTTATTTAAGAAAATTTCGGCAGTATAACAGCAAGGAAATTGGTGCAAGTTGCGATTGCAGAATTCTCGTCGAAAAATTTCAGCGGTTTACGATGAAAATTTACAGCAACACAAAATTGTTTTTAGAGATGAATTTCTCAATAGATCAATCTTAGATGGAAGCCAAGATAATCTATGAAGTGTACAAGAAATTTCATTCAAAAAAGATTACAAATAGATGGGTTAAAGCAACAATATGCGGCTGAAATTTTTTGCAGTATAGATTTTCAAGTATAGCAGATTGGACATAAAAGATTAGTAGTTTATATTGAGAATTTTTTGATGACACCAAAGGGAAATCCACTGTTAGGAAGTGTCAAAGATGTCATAAAAATTTCATAGAAATTTGGATAGAAAAAGCACAGTAGCAAGATTAAACAGATGGTGCTATGCGGCTGGAATTCTGCAATGTATCTTTCGTCGTAGAGATGAAAACTTTGTGATGAAAAGTTTATGCAGCAATATAGGAATAATTTTTTTGGAATTTTTGAATAAGGATAACTAGATTGCAGCAGTAGTAAGGTAGGAAACCAGAACCTGTTACAATTCACGGGGAGATCAAAGGATGATCCGTGGTGGTGGAGATGATGGTAGAATTTGGCGACGTTCTTTTAAGCAATTGTGGGAATTGCTTTGGGTGGCTGTGGAGGGTTGATGGATGGCTGTCGAAAGGCAGCGAGATGCCAAGAACGCTGCTCTGATACCAGGTGTTAGAACCCTTACAGATTCTAAACTTGGGGTTGATCTCTTTAGGGGATCGGCCTCCTTGGAACTCTATAGGGGTTCCTCCCTCCAAGTTGCTGCTCAAAGGCTGCAGAAAAGATTCATCTATTGCTTATGAAAAGAAGAGGAATACATGACTATTTATAGGGTTTTCTCCCACCCATGTTGGTATTTCATCAAACAAATTATTTTCACCAAGATCAAGAGTAACCAATTGTTCACAATGTTTCAAGAAGGAAGGAAATCTTCCGGATAGGTTGTTGTGGTTCAAATGCAAGGACTGTAGAGAAGTTGGGAATGATTTATAACACTTTGGGATTTTTCCAGATAAATTATTGTTTGATAGGTCGAGGACTTCAAGATATTTAAGATTGCAAAAAAAGAAAGGAAAACTGCCATTGATATTGTTATGGGACAAAGATAATACTTGGAGGCTTGAAGCATTTGTAAAACTCATCGGAATAGGTCCAACAAATGAATTATTGGAGAGATCCATGATTATCATTGGAGCAGAGTGTAGAGGACCATTTAAGTTATTAGAACTCAAGTTAAGACTCCGCAAACCTTTTGAGAAATCTGAAAACCAAGTTGGAAGGTTGCCTAAGAGTCCAACTCCAGATAAAGAAAGATCTCCCAAATTTGTTTGTGTTTGAATCCAAGCAGGAAATTTAGTTCTTAGTTGACATGAGCTCATGAAAATACTGTAGGCATTAAAAGGTGGAAACCAATCATTGGGTAGGATCACATTCAAGGAGTTATAAGATAGGTCAAAGTGTCCCAAGTTGGTGAGTTTGGAAAAGTGTGCTTCAGTGATATTACCTTCCAACAAATTTGAGGAGAGGTCCAATACTTGTAATGCAGATAATTGACCCATACTTAAAGGAACAATCCCACTCAAATTGTTGCCACTAATAGATAAATATAGAGCGGCTCTTTGTTCACAACGTAGTAAACTATCAATTAGATCGGTTAACTCTCCACTGATATGGTTATGTGATAAATCTATAAAACTCAAATTGCAGAGCTCATTCAAAGTCCCAGGTACTAACCTTGTCAAGTGGTTATATGATACATCCAGGATTTGCAAGTTGTAGAGTCTGTTGATGGTCTCTGGCATCTGCCCAGTAATAAAATTATCAATTAAATATAGAGATTGCATATTTTGAAGATTCCCGATCGTTTCTGGTATTTGTCCTGAAATCTGATTTCCGAACAAGAATAAGCTCTCCAAGTTGATTAGATCACCAAAAGCTATCGGTATACTTCCAGTAATATTATTGTTTGAGAGATCCAAGTATTTCAGATTAGTGAGATTCCCCATAGCTCGTGGAATTTCTCCGGTAATGTGATTAGATCTCAAATTTAAATATCGCAAGCTGCTTGTGAAATTTTTCATCATTTTTGGAATTTGTCCATTGAGCTTGTTACCATCTAATGCAAGGTACTCCAGGGGCCCAAGACTCCACAAGATTTGTGTAATATCTCCACTTAATAAATTCCAACTTAAATCCAAATGCTTCAAGCTCCTGCTTACATTCATTATTATTCCAAAAATTTCTCCTTTGATACCATTGTATTGCAAATCCAAGTCTTTCAAATTAGTCAGAGCTCCTAGAGTGACTTGTAGTGAATCAATATCAACACCACTGCAGTAAAAAAGATTAAGATATACAAGGCTGCTAGCATGAGAGATCCATCTTAGAATTGTTGTGTTCAAGTTGGAATAACCAGAGAGATCTAGTTTGACGATTGAAGACAGATTAAAAGGGGGCAAAGGTGATGGAACACAAGGGAGGTTTGCCCACCCCAAGCGCAATACTTTAAGACTGAGGATCCAATTAACTTGGTGAAGCCAATTAGTTGCTTTAGAGAGGTTGACAAAACTCATATCAACATATTTTAGAGAAGGAATTCGGGAGAGCCAATCAAGGTCATCAGCTTGTAGATTAGTAAATCCACATCCTCCAAGATCGAGGAAGTGTAGGTTGGAGAGGTTCCCCAGTTGAGGAGGTATTAGCCCACCAAACCCAGCATTGGATAGGTTAAGATATTCCAAATGCACAAGTGAAGCAATCATGTAGGGGACGTGGGCACCAGAGAAATTATTCATGCTCAAATCCAGATATTTCAAATGCTTCAGATCACGCAAAGCAGGATTTACCTTGCTCGCACCCATCCCTTCTAACATGAAGCACATATCGTCCTCGTCATCCAAATCATATGTGTAGAAATTGTGAGTGTGGAGATAGTGGAGATCGAGCTTGATGACATGGCTGGTGTTGTCATCGCAGGCCACTCCTCTCCAGCTACAGCAATCTTCACCGATCCAAGAAGAGAACCTTTTGCCGGAGTCGTACATATCGGATCTGATGGCTAGGAGAGCTCTCCTCTCGCTCTCTATGCAGCTTCCCCCCTCCGCCCCGAGATGGCCATCATGATCGCCCCCGCCATGGCCGAGACAACAGGAGATGACTCCAAAGCTCATAATTATGGTCATAAGCATAGTGACATGCTTTGAGCAAATAGATTCGCCATTGCAGCCAACGCCAACAACAGCCATCGAGTAAGCCTTCAGAAATCAGTAAGTTTAAGGTGCGAGGTTGGAAGGTGGCTCCATAAATACATTTATAGAATGACACCGAACGTTACTTGAGGACTGATGAATCTAAAGGACCGGTGTTGCTGACATGACGTGATAAATGGTTTGGAATGGGCTGGCAAATCTTTCTAGATGATTCTTGCAACCTTAATTCTGAGACTCCTAGTGAAGAATGTGATATTAATATTTATATTTATTATCTGAGAATATTATAAGAATATTAATATTAATATTTATTATCTGAGAATATTATAAGAAAGCAAATCTTTTGTTGTTAACATTCTAAAAAGGTGGAAATGAGTTGTGGAATGACCACTATTAAGCACACTATCTTATAGATTTTTTTACACTCTAAATTTGGCTTAATTTACATATATCTCAAAAATAATTATTGTGGGTTTAAGGTCTTCGTATTCTTGTAGTATGATTACAATACAAGTCAAAGTCAAATAAATATCTATCTTTTATCTCTTGAGCAATAGTAGTGACCTGTTCCGATGAGATGATAAATGGATTGATTTTTTTGGATCCTCCATTAATTTTTTGGATTCTTCTCTTAGCCCACCGTGTCAAGTGGACAAGAAATATCATGTTCAATGTTTCATATAAGTGAGTTTTCCTATTTATAATTTCATGTTCAATTTTTTTTTAACTAGACAAGTTTTGTTGAATTAGAAAAAATATTTATATAAAAAGGCTTTTTTATTTAGAAAATAGAAATCAGTCACTTTTGCTCAATTATACCACTGAAAGTATTCCAACGTATGTACAATCAATATTAGAATAACATTCATCATGTCATGGCAATTGCGTTTTCGTACCCACTTAAAACGTCACGTTGAGAAGTCTCGTGACGTACTGAGTGATTTGATGGGGGATGGAATTGAACGAGAAAGTCTAAAGTCTTGAAATTTGATTTCGTCTTTTGATCATTTGTTCATGTCTTATTCTAACTCACCCCCTCAAGGGGGGAACAAGAGAGATCGCTGTTTGCTTGTCATGTGCATTTTCTTCTCTCTTTCCTTCTTTTTACTTTTTCTTTTTATTTTCTTTGATGCATAGCTACTAGGTATATCCATTTCTATTTTTATTAGATATGTATAAATTGTATTTTGATAGAACGTTTCAACTCATCCATCATTTATCGACTTCTCATATTTCTATAATCTATTGACTGAATTTTTTCATGTCATGTGATATGGGCAAACCTAAAGAAATACTTAATATATAAGGGAATTGGGTGATGATAGATAATAAATAAAAAATTAAACTAGAGATAGAAAAAAAGAAAAATCTTATTTACAAAAAAATTATTAATTTAAGGAGGAAGACTTTGAAATATTCTTGTGACTTACTTTAGTGAAATATATGCCTTTATTGTGAATTGATCTCTGAGAGAAGAAGAGAGGTCTATTTTTAGACTTGCTCAAAGACCTCTGATTTAAGAAAAAATTATGGCCTTGCATCACTCATACATTTTGGAAAAAATAATACTATTATCATGATCCCATTATAATTCTTGATTTTTTCACATAGGTCATAAAAACGAAAAAAAAGAGTAACTAATAAAGAAGAAAATAAAATCGCATCAAGATGATTCAATATGTGTCATTTGGTCATCTTTTGGTAAAATAAACTTCTTGAATTGTATTATAAAATAATCTTCCTTCTTTATATATCATGTTCTTCCTTTCTTATAAGATGATAATTCTTACCATCTTTTCTTTTATTTATATTTTTCTTCTTATTTATTGACAATCTTGAAAATAAGATCATGAATATGTAGGATATTATTGTGTGACAATTTGAATATGTCAATTGAACTGTGCAATCCAATGATGCACGAATAAATCATGGATTGAGATATAACAAGAGAATCAATTATATATATATATATATATATATATATATATATATATATATATATATATATATATATATATATATATATATATCAACTCATCAATCAATCTGTAGGAAAGATGAGGTTCCCACTTTCCAACATTTATGGTATGACTATGATTGAGTCGTGACATGATGAATGAGTTGGAACAGCCAATCTTTTGGATGACTCTTGAAACATTAATTGAAATGTGAAATATGATTGTGGATATATCTCAAGATTAGTTATTATAGGTAAAAACTCTTTTCACCCTGAACCATTTGTGATGTGGCTACGATGAAAATCAAAGTTAAGTAGATATCTATCTTTGTCTTATGAAATATTTTATAATATATTTATGGTGTGGATTAGTTTATTAAATCTTCTTCTATTGATTTATCTTCCTAACATACTGTGTCGCTCTTATACACATCTTTTCCGAATATTTCTTTATCGATTTATCTTCTTAACATACTGTGTCACTCTTATACAAACATCTTTTTCTATATATACTTTCATGTTCAATTAATTTTTACTTATATAAAAATAAGTAATTTATTTAGAAAATAATTTAGTGTTGGTCTTGCCCTTTAGCACACAACCATCAATAATAATAATAATAATAATAATAATAATAATAATAATAATAATAATAATAATATTCTCTTCGCATATATTTAATCATTGTCAAGTTAGGTTTCTCATAGTTTTTTGATTAATTAAAGAAAAAAAAGTAATTAAGATAGGAGAGAGAAAAAACAACAGATGATTTCGATATATAAGTTGGGAAGGGTCCAAACTTTCATCCGCTAGTTATTTGAAGGTTGACGAAGTGAAGCAAACGAGTCTTTCAACAAATAAGTCTCGGAAGTTGATGTCACTACGGAATCTTTCTTAATGTCTCATTCTAGCTCACCCCGTCAAGTGGGAAAGTGAGAGGTTTTGAGCATAGTAATACTGTGTAGAGTGGATTAATTTAGATCTATTCAAATTGAGTAAAGTATTTTGTTGGATATATCTCAAGAATAATTAATGGGGGCATAAAGTCTTTAAAGCATTTGTGGTATGGCTATGATACAAGTTAAAGTAAAAAATTAAACAGATATCTATATTTATCTCTGGGATGGTAGTAATAACATGTTCTAATGAGGTGATAATTGGATTGGTTTCTTAGATCCTCCTTTGTTGATATCTTGGATCCTTTTTCTAATTTGTGGACTTTCCTATTTGTAATTTCATGTTCAATTTTTTTTTTTAAGTAGACAACTTTCATTGAATAGAAAAACCATTTTCAATTATTTGTACATATAAAAAAATTTAATTTTTTTAGAAAATAATTTTAAAGTAGGCCTTGCTCTTCAGCACACAGAAATGAAACACTAAAAAAAATATTCTCTTATGAAATATTCAATCTTTAAAGTGACTTTCCAGTGATTTTTGAATCAATTAAAGAATCAACGGATAATTCCATCCTTCAAAAAGTTGAGGAGGATCCAAACTTCCATCCTTCAACAAAAAAAAAATGTCATCCTCATCCAATTGTTTCTTAATTAGTTGATTAATTAGTAGGGGTCATGACCATAGGTGACATAATCAATATTAGGATAACATTCATCATGACAATTGAGCTTTCATACCCCACTTGACATGTCGCGTTGAGAAGTCTCATGACGTGTAATCCTAAAGAAATGCTTGATATATAGGGGAATTAGGTGAGGATTGATAATAAATAAAAAATTAAAACAGAGACAGAAAATAAGAAAAATCTTATTTGTAAAAATATTAATTTATGGAGGAGGACTTTGAAATATTCTTTTGACTTACGTTATTGAAATATACAAGTCTTTATTGTTAATTGACTTCACAGAGAAGAAAGATAGAAGGTAGATGATAGTTTTGAATTCGCTCCAAATTCTAGTATTTAAGAAAAAATTATAGCCTTGCATGACTCATTCGTTTTGTAAAAAATAATACTATGATCATGATCTCATTATAATTCTTAATTTTTTTTACATAAATAACTAATACGGAAGAAAATGAAATGGTTCAATATGTTGTATTTGGTCATCTTTTGATACAATAAGCTTCTAGAATATAATCTTCCATCTTTATATATCATATTCTTCGTTTTGGTATGCTTTCCTTGTAAAGTTATGTTGAATTAGGTGTTAAGTAGGGGGGAGCTGCTAAACATGTCATTAGTGGATTAATCCAAGTGGTCATCCAAATAGATGACTGCTAATTAATAGAAGTTACACAAAAGGAGGAAAAAAAAACCTTCTTAGGCACATCAGCTAGGATAATTCATACCTAATTACAATGGTTGCAAAATGATCACTGTTGGACATGCACAATATACCGAAACAATACATGAAAAATATATAGAACACCAGAGACTGTCGAGTCCTTTTGCTGATAGCATAACATCATAATACGTATGGGCGACTTAGTGGAAAGGACCATATATTCTCAAGCTGTAATAGTAAATGTGCCACCCAAGTGTTCTATATATAGAACAGCATAGATAGCTCGAGTTGTTTTTGCTGATAGCATTACATGATAATACGTATGGGCGACTTGGTGGAAATGACCGTATGATCTCAAGCTGTAATGGTAAATGTGCCACCCAAGTTTCCTGCGACAGTTCATGTGGTTCTTCTCGATTTGGACTTCAGCCTCGCAAACGTTACTGCCAACTGCACGAAGACCCGATCACCAGTCTTGTCTGTCAAACGGAAGAGAGCAACAACCCTTAGAGACTGTTTCATGATCATTATGCTGAAACAACTCCAAAACCCCACCACGAATCCCATGACGATGCTTGTAATTTCTAATACACCTTCAAGCTCGCCATCACTGTCTTCTTCTTCTTCTTCAATTGCTGCAGGAGGTAGGATTCGATAAGCAACATCTCCAGCTCGTACCACAAAGGTCTTTGTTGCCAACATAGATTGAGGGGTCATTTAACGTGGACACTTGATTGCTTGTTGGAATGCTTCCTGACAAGTTGTTGTAAGATGAGACTCGAGTGGCTCAGGAAGGTGAGAGTAGAAAAGCTAGAAGGAATATTTCCTGTCGAATGATTGTCGGACGAGCTAAGATATTGTATACCTGTAGACATATCCGAGAACCAAGCTGGAACTTTGCCCGCGAGTCCAACTCCAGATAGTTGAAGGCTTCTCAAATTAGTTTGGCTTCGAATCCAAGTAGGAAATCTAGTTCCTATATGACAGAAACTCATGTCAATAAATGGAGCATTACAAAGGGGAAGCCAATTTGAAGGAGCTGTCAAGATATGTCCAAAATTTCCAAGTTGAAGGAGCTGGGAAAAGTGTGCTTCAGTGATGTCGCCTTCTAGTGAGTTTGAGGAGATGTCCAACCTGTACATTCCAGAAAATTGACCCAAATTATATGGAATAATGCCATTAAATTTGTTGCCCTCAATACTTAAGTATGACAAGGCTGCTCCTCCAGTACAACTCGACAAACCATCAACTACATCTGTAAGCTCTCCATTGAAATTGTTAGAATTCAGACGCAGATCAGTTAAGCTGCACAAGCCACCTAAAGTCCTCGCCATCTGCCCTGATAAGTGGTTGATCTGATATATCCAAGAACTGCAAGAGGTCGAATTTGCCAATTGTTTCTGGTAGTTGCCCGGTAATAGAGTCATGAGACATGTAAAACCTGCAGACTTTGAAGATTGCCAATGTGTGCAAGGCTGCTACCATTAGTGAGCCATCTTAGAATACATGCATTACTTGAGTTCTAATAACCAGAGAGATCGAGCATGACAATGGATGTCAACAGAAGACTACTAAAAGCTACAAAAATTGCCAACAGAAGCTGCCATATAAAATAACACAAAGAAAAGCATGTGTCGACATCCAATTAACGAGGCAATGTATCGAAAGGAAAGCGATAACAGAACGACGGTAGAAAAAAGTATTTGAAGAGATTAGAAGGAATGCATTACTTGATACTTCTTCCTTCTTTATTCTGACAGCATTGCATGATGATTACATACAGCATTACTTGAAAGCAGCTTGCGACCTCAAGATGTAACAATAAGCTCTTCAGCATACTTCTTTCTGCTTTATTATAATGTCATAAAGACAGCGGTAGGGATGACTGACTTGAACATATTGATTAGAACGACGGATGATGAAGTTTTTGAACTGATTAGAACAAATACATGCATACTAATGAAGCAAAAGGCCATCAACTGCGATACCCTTTCCTTCTTTATTCTGACAACATTACACCATAACATACGAGCTGGAATTACTAACTGGAAAAGCAACTTGAGACCTCCTTAAGATGTAACAGCAAACTCTTCTGTTCTTGCCACCGATGGATCAAGTCACACTTTGCTGTTTGGACTTTAACCTTGCACATCCGACTGCCAATTGCACGTAGCACCAATCGTAGGCCTTGTCGAAAACTCGAAAGAAAGCCATCCTTATGCTCTGTTTCATGATCATTGTTCCAACAAAACTCCAAAAACCAACCACAAATCCCATGACGATGCTGGTAATTTCCCACACTGTTTCAAGCCTGTCACCGTTTTTCTCTTCGTGTTCATGAGGTGGACTTTGATGATCTGCATCACCAGGGCACTCTGGCAGTGGCGTACCACAAAGGTATTCATTACCATCATAGATCGACGGGTCGGCAAGAAAGGTCGACATTTGACCACCGGCTGTTGGAATTCTTCCTGACAAGTTATTGTGAGAGAGATTCAAGTGGCTTAGGAAGGTGAGAGATGATAAGCTGGAAGGAATATCTCCGGTGAGATTGTTCATCGATAAGTCAAGTGATTCCAGTTGTTCCATGGAACCAATCTTTTCTGGAATGGTTCCTCTCAAATGATTCTTGGATAAGTTCAAGAAAAGCAATCCATGGAGGCTTGTTAGCTCTCTTGGGATCTCGCCGGAAAGATTATTATTTGATAGGTCTATGCTTTTTACAAGTGAGAGAATTCTGGTGTATTGGATGTCAAAACCTTTGACTGTTATTACTATGCTCTCGCTATAGGAACCGCTAACATTAAAAAGATTAAGCAATGATGTAGTGTCATGTTGTATCTCAACCATAGCACTACAATTTCCTAGAGACGAAGGAATGCTACCAGAAAGATGGTTGGAAGAAAGATCCAAAACCTGAAGAGAAGTGAGATTTGCTATGTGCACTGGAATGGTACCAGAAAATAGGTTTGACTTCAAACTAAGAACTCTCAAGTACAAAAGGTTTTCTCCCACCCATGTTGGTATTTCATCAAACAAATTATTTTCAGCGAGATCAAGGGTAACCAATTGTTCACAATGTTTCAAGAAGGAAGGAAATCTTCCAGATAGGTTGTTGTTGTTCAGATGCAAGGACTGTAGAGAAGTTGGGAATGATTTATTACACGTTGGGATTTCTCCAGATAAATTATTGTTTGATAGGTCCAGAATTTTCAGATCATTAAGATTACAGAAAAAAAGGAGAAAAACTGCCATTGATACTGTTATGAGATAAAGATAAAATTTGAAGGTACGAGGCATTTGCAAAACTCAATGGAATAGGTCCAACAAATGAGTTATTGGAAAGATCAATGATGTCATTGGCAACAGAGGGTAGCGGACCATTCAAGTTATTAGAACTCAAGTTAAGACCCCACAAACCTTTTGAGAAATCTGAAAACCAAGTTGGAAGGTGGCCTAAGAGTCCAACTCCAGACAAAGAAAGATCTCCCAAATTTGTTTGTGTCTGAATCCAAGCAGGAAATTTAGTTCCCATATGACATGAGCTCATAATAATACTGTAGGCATTAAAAGGTGGAAGCCAATTGTTGGGTAGGATCACGTTCAAGGAGTTGTAAGATATGTCCAAATGAGCTAAATTGGTGAGTTTGGAAAAGTGTGCTTCGGTGATGTTGCCTTCCAGAAAATTTGAGGAGATGTCCAAGTCACGCAATGCAGATAATTGACCAATACTTGAGGGGACAATCCCACTCAAATTATTAGCCCTAATATATATATATCTAAACTGGCTCCCTGGTTACAATCTGGTAAAGCATCGATCAAATCTGTTAGCTTTCCACCAATAGGGTTAAAGGACAAATCTATAGAACTCAAATTGCATAGTTCATTTAGAGTCCCAAATACTAACTTTGTCAAGTGGTTATATGATACCTCCAAGATTTGCAAGTTGTAGAGTCTGTTGAAGGTCTCTGGCATCTGTCCACTAAAAAGATTATCAGATAAATCTAGCCATCGTATATTTCGGAGATTCCCAATAGCTTCTAGTATTTGTCCAGAAATCTTATTTTCCCATAATATCAAGCTCTCCAAATTGATGAGATCGCTAATAGTCATTGGTATAGCTCCAGTAATATTATTGTCCGAGAGATCCAAGTATTTCAAATTGGTGAGATTCCCAATAATTTCTGGTATTTGTCCTGAAATCTTATTTCCCCATAATCTCAAGCTCTCCAAGTTTATGAGATCACCAATAGCTATTGGTATAGCTCCAGTAATATTATTGTACGAGAGATTCAAATATTCCAAATTGGTGAGATTTCCAATAGTTTTTGGTATTTGTCTTAAAATATTATTTCCTTGTAATATCAAACTTTTCAAGTTGATGAGATCACAAAAAGCCATTAGTATACTTTCTGTAATATTGGTGTACGAGAGATCCAAGTATTCCAAATTAGTGAGATTCTTTACTTTTTGTGAAATTTCTCCGGTAATGTGATTGAATCTCAAACTTAAATATTGTAACCTGCTTGGGGCATTTTTCACCATTTCTAGAATATCTCCGTTGAACTTGTTATCATCTAATGCAAGGTACTCCAAGGAGCCAAGGCTCCTCAAGATTTGTCCAATATCTCCGCTTAATGAATTCCCACTTAAATCCAAATGCTTCAACCTGCTGCTCACATTCATTATCATTCCAAAAATTTCTCCTTTGATACCATTGTATTGCAAATCTAATGCTTTCAAATTACTCAGAGCTCCCAGAGTGACTTGTAGTGACTCAATATCGATACCACTACAGTACGAAAGATCAAGATATGCAAGGCTGCTAGCATGAGAGAGCCATCTTAGAATTGTTGTGTTCAAGTTGGAATAACCAGAGAGATCCAACTTGACGATTGAAGTCATATTAAAATGGGGCAAAGGAGATGGAATATACGGGAGGCTTGCCCACTCCAAGCGCAATACTTCAAGACTGGGAATTGAATTAACTTGGTGAAGCCAATTAGTTGCTTTAGAGAGGTTGACAGAACTCATATCAACATGTTTTAGAGAAGGAATTCGGGAGAGCCAATCGAGGTCATCAGCTCGTACATCAATATATCCACATCCTCCAAGATCGAGGAAGTGTAACTTAGAGAGATTCCCCAGTTGAGGAGGTATTAGTCCACCAAACATGGCATTGGATAGGTTAAGACATTCCAAATGCACAAGTGAAGCAATCATGTGGGGAATGTGGGAGCCAAAGAAATTATTCATGCTCAAATCCAGATATTTCAAATGCTTCAGATCACGCAAAGCGGGATTTACCTTACTCGCACCCATCTCATTCAGCAAGTAGCAAATGTTAACCTCATCATCCCAATCGTCTGTGTAGGAGTAAGGATAGTGGAGGTCGAGTTTGATGACATGGCTGGTGGTGTTGTCGCAGGCCACTCCTCTCCAACGACAGCAATCTTCACCGATCCAAGTAGAGAATATTTCGCCAGAGTCATACATGTCGGATCTGATGTCTAGGAGAGCTCTCCTCTCGCTCTCTATGCAGCTTCCCCCCTTCGCCCCGAGATGGCCATCATGATCCCCCCCGCCATGGCCGAGACAACAGGAGATGACTCCAAAGCTCATAATTACGGCCGTGAGCATGGTGACATGCTTTGAGCAAATAGATTTGCCCTTGCAGCCACCGCTAGCAGCCATCGAGTAAGCTTTCAGAGATGATGGAGTTTAAGGTGTGAGGTCGGAAGGTGGTTCCATACATCCATTTATAGAATGACACTGAACGTTCCTCGAGGACTGATCGATCTCAAAGACCGGTGTTGTTGACATACCGTTCCCTCACTCCAACATCTATTGACGTGATAAATGGTTTGGAATGGGCTGGCGAATCTTCCTCGATGTTTCTTGCAATCCTTACAGTCGAACAACGATGTGATCATTACTGGTCAGTAATTGGACCGACGAGTTAATCTGATAGAATGAATAATTAATATAAATATCTAAAATTATAAATATATATATATATATATGTTTTAAATATGAATAATTATTATCTGAGAATATTACAATAAAGCAACAGAGTCCAAGTCATCGAGGTCATTTAAATTAAATCTCTTGTTGCTAACATTCTAAAAAGGTCGAAATGAGTTGTGGAATAACCACAGTTAAGCACAGTATTTTATAGATTTTTTATACTATAAATTTTGTTTAATTTGGATATATCTCAAAAATAATTATTGTGGGTATAAGGTCATTGCACTCTGAAGCATTTGTGATGTGATTATGATACAAGTCAAAGTCAAACAAATATCAATCTTTTATCTCTTGGACGGTAGTGGTGACCTGTTCTAATGAGGTGATAAATGAATTGATTTTTTAGATCGTTTTCCTAACGTGACAAAGTGGACAAGAATTGTCTGTCAATGTTTCATATATGTGGGTTTTCCTATTTGTAATTTCATGTTCAAATTTTTTTTAAATAGACAACTTTCATTGAATTAGAAAAAACATGTTCAATTATTTGCATATATAAAAAAGTATTTTTTTTAGAAAATAGAAATAAAATTAAAAAAATTCTCTTCTCAAATATTTAATTTTTAGAGTAATTTTTGGATCAATTAAAGAAAGAAGAGTGATTGAGATATGAGAAAAAGAATCAATATTGGAATAACATACATCTGGCAAGTGTTTCATACCCCACTTGACATGTCGCGTTGAGAAGTCTAAGTCTATGTGACGTGCTGAGCGGTTTGATGGGGGATGGAATAAAACTAACGAGTCTAAGTCTCAAAAATTAATTTTATCTTTTGATCATTATTTGATGTCTCATTCTAGCTCAACCCCTTAAGGGGGAACGAGAGAGGTCACTATTTACTTGTCTGAGGATCTTCCTCTCTTTTTTTCTTTTTTTAATCTTTATTAATGCATAACTACTAAGAATATTTATTTCTATTTTTATTGGATAGGTATAAATAATATTTTGATAGAACGCTTCCATTTATCGACTTCTCTATTGACTAAATTTTTTTTTCATATTATGTGACGAGG